TCAACAAATCAACAATTCAATCACCAATAGCATAGACCTCGATGTCATTGTGTTTCAGGTTCTTTGAAGGTAGGAATACTTGATCCTGGGATTCCCCGTCTGTGATCAGGACGGCAATCCTTCTGGAGTCTGGACGCATTCCCATACTGGGTTTAAACTGGATATCGAGGATGTGCTCCAGAGCTTTTCCTGTATGATGGCAGAAAGTGACATCAGCAGGTCAAGAGTTTCAAATGTCATGGACTAAAACCAATTATGGGTTTTACACACACACACACACACACACACACACACACACACACACACACACACACACACAAAGACACAAAGTAGAAAGTCAACCGTGAATCAAATGACATACTTAAACAAGAAGGCTTTAAATAAAACTAATGTTAATACTAAATAATGTTAATGTTGCTCCAACAGCCCGATAACAACTGTCGCTGCTCATGGCTGAGGCGGTTGAGTGGTCACCCTTTAGACAGCACTATGATGCACAGACGGCTCCGTATGTTTGAGGCATGAAGACTCCTCTCAGCTCTGTCACCAGTTTGTTTTCACTCAGCGTTTGGGCATATGCTAACACAGCTTACACCTTCACACAGCCACGAGGATCGATGTCCTGCTGTGCTGCTCATTGTTGGACAACAACAGTAGCTACTCTACACTATCGAGTTAGCGAGGTGAGTTGGCCAACACTAGAGGTTCACTGTAGTGATGTCCCCAGTTTTTACTAATCTTCTGTGAGAACTGATAAATTAGTTTGTCCATGTGGAGCCAAGGGTAAACAGACTATGGCAGTTTCACTCAAAGCACACGTCCACAGATGGATTATTGTTATTGTCACTGCTACATGATGCACCTGTTAGTGAATTATTGTAAAAAATAAGTTCAGATTTCTAAAATCAACTACATACATAAACGTGTATGATTTCATGCCAGGATCTTTTGAATGTCTAGTCTGTTTTATTTGACCTAGTCTTTGTTATTTGTAATAATTTATGCTTTTTGTGTTGTTTCTTTTTAAACTATCACTTCAAAATGGTATTAAAAAGAAGTGTATGAGTGCCTGTTTTGGTACTTCTACTTGTGAAGGATTTCTCTGTTTATTGTGCAGCAGATACTTTTTCAGAAATAATCTTCGTATCAGATTCTGATTGTCCGGGATGAAATTTTTTTTTTAGCCTGGTTCAATGATCACCTCTGGAGCACCATACCTTCTGGTGACAACCTCCTGTAGGCTGGGTAATAAGCTGCTTGCTCACCTGTGTTGGTGTCTCCACCAGTTTGTTTGAGTTGTTTTATGGCCCTCAGCAGGGATTGTTTGGTCTGGTGGGTGTTCAGGTGCCACTCTGTCCTTGGTGTGGTGCTGAACAAAGTCAGACCTGCAGAAGCAATGTGTAAAACAACAAGGACACACAGAGCTCGTCATTCAAATTCAAACATTCACACATTCAAACACGATAGTTATTAGCACTTTGTACAAATTACACATTATTAAAAGCACAATAATTAAGGAGAGTTCATGTATGTATGTGTGGTATTTTTAAGTACTTTTGAAATTAACAGTGTTAAATATAATAGTAATGAAAACATTACCGATCTGGACTGCATCGGGACCAATGTTGAGGCCGTTGACGATGGCAACAAGAAACATTTTAATTTGATCAAAGTCATTGCTGCTGATGCTCCCAGACTCATCCACCAACATCACAAGGTCAACTTTGGCTGTTTCACAGTGAACACCTGAAACACAGCAAAGGATTATGGGATACAAGAGAAGACCAAATAAATTTCTGAAGAGAGAAGTGTTGTGGAAGTTTTCCACTTAAATAAAGCCTGCAGACGAGCGGTGAGCGGTAGCTAACATTCTTTAATCCAAACACACAAAGAACAGACAACCAAGCTTGATGAAGTCCCTGCATGACCGCGGGACAGACGGTCAGCAGAGTCTCTCTGAGCCTAGCATGGCTCTCAGTTAAATACC